AGTAGTTATGTGAGTCCAAATTTTATTATGTTTTTTGAGTGTTATATATGTTGTTTTATGTTTTTCTGCCCTATAAGGGCATAGTTGTCTTTGTAATATTCTATTATTTTAGTATAAATAATAAATGAAGGGGGCGGCCAGATTATTGCTCTCTTTTCTTTCAACTTCTCCTCTTCTCTTCTTCTCCTTCTCTCTTCCTTCTCTCTTCAAGAAACTACTTTCTTTCATATTTTTTTAATTCAGCAGATTGCTACTGTGCTTATACCATTTTAAGTAGATGGATTCCCAAGAGAGACACAAGGAATGGATCTAGGATCCAATTTCCCACAAAGGAAAAAAATTATGACCAAAACAGCTGCACCCCGAAGGTGCAAAGAGAAATTGAATACAATGGAGACTTGGGAAACAAAAGATGATGTGGAGCCTTGTACTCTGGTACGCAAGATTGTATATGGTTATTAAGATATGCTGCAGTGAGAATTACATCAGTCCAATACTTCTTCAGGACATGCATATGGAGCATCAAACTATGTGCCACCTCCAAAATATGTCCTGCTCGACAACCCCAAAATGTTATGGGGCAATAACTCTAATGAAGAGTGTCATGCTCAGCAAAAACCAATCGAAGAAACTCCTAAGATATTTTGTTGCATTTTCAGAATGAAATATTTGAACCTCCACATGAAAGTGAGTACACACCATAGAACATCAATAGAACAGTACATATAATTCCATGTTTACGAAGAGTAATCATCAATGAAGTTGATAAAATACAGGCAGCCATTTTCAACCACAATAGTAATAGGGCACCCCCACATCAAAATGAATTATATTGAATAGAGCAAAAGCTTTGTACAATTACTGAAATTACCTTTATTATGTGGGCAGATTATAAGATACATCCTACCAAAATACAAAGAAACCCACCAATACAAAACAAGAATAAAATAAGATTAAAATACAACCCTATTTACGGTGCCCACCTTTGAAGCTCGCAAATCTCAGGATCTGATGGATAAAACATCCTATTAAACACCTATGTAGAAATTATATTCTCTCCAATAGCTTACCAAACTCTTTCACCTCAACCGTCACTGGATTCGCCTTTCTCTCTTCGGCAGCCAGTGATGGCAACAAACCAACAACTGAACTTATTACAGGAACTCAGCTTAGGAGACTGCAATAAATAGGATTTTATGCATTGTACCAAAGAAATTTGATTATTCTTTTAGTTGCCTCTTCCAATTATCTTAAAAGATTAAACTACCCAACCAATAAAATAAAAATTCAACACATAATGGCAACTTTAGCAAGTCATTTTATTCCTTCTCTATTGTTGAAATCTGCTGCAAAGGACCTAAATATTAAAACAAAGCTACACTGTAAAGATAACTTCCAGTCAAATATTATGACCAGATCAATGGTGTTTTTGAAACTATATATGAAACTGAGGACATCAGATGACAATGCTTTACCTTAACAGCTGGTAGCATTGAAGAACCTTTAGCTAACTCAGCGGCTATGCATGATGCCAAAGTGCAACCAGTTCCATGAGTATTACAAGTTTTTATGCGTGATGCACGTAGCTCATGGAAATGCTCTCCTGCATAAACATGTCAAATAGCTATACCGGATTATCCTCAACCAGTACGACTTACAAGTATTAATAGTTAATTTCTAAAAAAATGAGGATGAGGAAAATACAGATGATCAAGAATTCCAAAGATTTTGTATGAAGCATACCATCAAAGAATATATCAACAGCATCCTTTGAAGCTGGGAGATCACCACCCTTGACAAGTACGTTTCTGAAAGAGAAATCAATGCCATTAGTAGCAGAATGACCATTTTAAATGATTATATTGTAATCATATGTTTGTATCTTTGCTCTTGGGAAGAAAGTTGGATACTATACCCCCCACCCAAAAACCCATCATCAGAACGTGCATAAATGGAGCTCATCACTTCAAGCAACAAGCCTAAAAACAGGGCAACATAGAAATTTCGTCCTGACAAAGACTTATAACAATGCCCTTTAGGTCACTAAATTCAAAAGCCAATTGACAGAAAATTTAAGGCTCTTTGGAATCCTTTGGAGCCAACAAAAGCATATCCCCAAAAAACTTGCTAGTTCTCTACATGCATTTGCTCCAAAATATGGAAAAGGGGAGCATAGAATCTATTGGGAAATCAGGAGCATAGAACCTGGAGAGCCCTTAAGACATCTCAACATCCTGAAAACTACTTCTAAATGAGGTACTTTGAGAGAATCCAAGAACTGGCTAACCACATTCACAGTAAAGGTAATGCCTGGACATGAAATAATCAAGCAAGCAAGTCTTCCAACCAACCTTACAACAATCACAAACCAAATCATCTCTTTTCTCCATAGATTTTCACTTATAACTAGTTGGCTTATGTTTGATTGTTACTAAAGCAGAATGAGTATTTAACTAACCATATCATCCCTCCTACTTTCCACCCCCTGAACATGAGAATATACTATGGGAAAATTCCTCCCCAAAAAACCTCCCAAAGAGGATCAAAGTACTTCCTTTCAAGCCCCAAGTGCTAGCTTTTAAGTTTTTCTAGAACCCTTAACTCAATTTCTCTAGTTATCTAGGGTTTTCAGAAAAATCTCCAAGAACCTGTCTTGGACCTCAAACTAAGGGTAAATTCCTCTCCAAAAACCCTCCCAAACTGGGCTGTAAAAGCTTCCAATCAATCAGCCAAATAGTTCTCCATACACATTTTGTATGGGCCTAAGAAATTGAATAAGATGGGAGCCTGCTCTGATACGAAGTTGCAAATCACACCAGCAATAATTCTGCAAATAGAATATGGAGAAAGAAAATGAGGAAGAAAGAGAAGCTCAGAAGAAGATTTAGAAAGAAGAGAAGAGAATGGAAGAAAGGGAAGAGGAAGAGAAGTGTTCAATCCTCTCTCTCTCTCTCTCTCTGTCCCTCATTTCAATTTAAATATGCTCTGAAACATTAAGTGTGTAAAGTTACACTAGTGCCCCTAGTGGGGCAGTTGACTTAAAAAAATATAAAAAGAGTAAGTATTAAGGCCCATAAAGAAGGCCCACTATAGCAGAAAAAAAGCTACTAAAAAAATAAATAAAACTATGGCCCATTTGGCCCAATCTCTCTACAAAAATATGCCTTTACTCAAATCAGATGAAATACAATATTTATTAATATGAGCAAAAGAAGTAGATGTAGAAGACCAACAACCAGAACAAAATAGAGGTGTTTGTGCCAAGATGCCACTCATTTCTACAGACAAGTCAGTAGTAGGAGTAGTAGAAAGTAAACATGAAGAAGTAGGTGAAATCTGTGATTTCTCAAACTCCAAAGTGAATAACCGTCCTAACCTACGCCCCTTCCCCCCTCACCATCGTAGTTCATCGGTCCTGAATCAAACATCCATCTAAAAGAAAGAAACTATGTTACCATCCTCTACCAATTGACCAATAGAAATTAAATTAGTAACAAGTTTTCGAACAAGAAAGGTCTTTGGGAGACAAAACTATGAAGATGAAGAAGTATAAAAAGTCAAGTCATTAATAAGCAAGAATTTAATGTTTTTCACTATTGACCATAATGATATGCTTATTCAAGAATTTAGGTTTAAAATACTAACTAGAGTATGCCCCTGTCATATGATTAGAGGCAAGAGAATCAATTACCCAAAGATGACTAGGAGAACAATAGAGGGAAGACTCACCAAAAATACCAATAGCAGAGAAAGCTGAAGAAATGGCTGAAGACACCAGTTGCCACATCTTTTCCTCAAAAATAACTCCATAGGGCTCATTTTTGAATGAAGTAGGCACTGGAGGAGAAGGAACAGTACCACCATCTGAATTGTCCATGGATGTCTGATAAGCTCGATGTTGATTTTTCTTATACCTGAAGTGTTTCCTTTAGATGGCCTAGTGGGGCATTCAGATATTATAGGTCCATGCTGCTTGCAATAGGCACAAGTGTTCTTCTTCCAACAATGTGAAACAACATGACCATATTCTTTGCACTCATAACATTAGACCTTAGAAAGATCCTTCTTTAGTTTCAGTTTGTTTGCAAAAAAGACAGCTTTAGCCCCAGAATCATGCTTCCCATGGAAGGTAGACTGAGCAAGTAGCTTCATTTCTTCCATAAGAAGTTCCCCCAATATAATATCCAGACTTGGGAGAGTATCCCCACTCAGAATATTTGATCAAATCACTTCATATTCAGGCCTCAAGTGCATTAGAAAATGCACGATCTTTCTTTTGTCAAAGTGCTCCTCCATACTCTTGACACAACAAGCTGACAAAAAAGTCTGCCCCTGTGCAATAATTCATACTCAGTCCACAAAATGACAAAACCATCATAGTACTATTGGATCTTTTCCCCTTGGGTGTAGGAAAAGATTCCCATTTCAATTTGATATTGTCAAGATAGGTTGGACTGTTGATAGACCTTCTCCATGTATTTAAAAATTTCCACTATAGTCTTAAAACCAATCATCAGAATGGCTATGTCAATCTCATTCGAGCCAAGAATCCATGATGCTATTCTTGCATAATCTATCTTCCACTATTTCAACCCTTGTTGTCAGACTTATAAGGCTTGGCCACCAAACCATCCACATAACCCAAAGACCTTGGCCCTCAACATAGAACTAGATGTGGAACTTAGATAGAGCATTGTTGCTTCCATCAAACTTGACTAATAACAGTTCCATCTTGTCTGGGGCCATTTCAATAGAAGTAACACCAAGAACAAGTGTTGTAACAAGTAGAAAGGATAGAACCAGCTTTAAATCACCTAAAACTAATCTAATTTAATGTCGAATAATCAGATTTCATAAAGGAAAAGCTTCCAAAAAAGTAGATCAAGTGGTAGTCCAAAAATGGAAAGTCTAGGGTTGATTCCAAGAAGATGAAGTTAGAAACCCTACCAGCAATGAACCAAACACCAAACCAGTGGTATTGGGAAAGAGAGAAGGTTTGGGCAACACCAGATCCGAGATTTCAAAAGCTATCTGAACAGGTAGAAGTGAGATCGGAGACAAATCCCCAATCTGGTACTTCATCTTCCACGGGAAACAGAACAAATGAGTAATCCTTTAATGCACTTTAATCAAATCAAATAGCAGATAAAGAAGAGTCTTTAGCAGATCCAGATTCAAACCTGCTTCGATACCATGACAAAGACAATTCGAAAGAGACGATGAATTCAATGGACGTATCTAACCCTCTACACGCCCAAAAGAGAAAGGACAATTGTGCCCTTCTCTAAAACAAATAAGAAATAGGATAAATAGACAAGAAAGAATAAAAGATACTGTCAGTGACTCCCGTCTTAAGCAAGGAAATTCTGTTTTTTAGATAAATAAAAAATATATTTAAACAAAATAGGATGCAAGGAAAGGTGATAAGCAACCACCTGAATGAAAAGGAAAAAACACCCAAAGGACAATTTTGCATCCATACTACTTTCCCAAATAGGCCAAACCATCCACACAAAGTCAAACCCTCAAAATCCAAACCTCGTTAAGCAAGGACAATTGTGCATCCATACTACTTTCCCACACTAAAGTTTTAAGCAAGTCTATCTCCTACCGTAAAGATTTCAGCATAGAATAATACAGTGTCAGTGACTCCCCTGTCATAGATTATTCACATCATTCTTCAATTTGTAAGCTCTTGCTACATTCATCTTCTAAGAATACATTTCAGCCAAATTAACCCATACTTCTTTGGCTGAATCCATCCATATATGATGCTTACTGATGTGTGATTGCATAGAATTCACAAACCATCCAACAACCATATAATTTTGTCACGTCAACTTCACACAAGTAGGGTCTGTCTTCTCTGGCCTCTTACTACTGCTTGTAAGAAACTCTAATTTTCCCTTACTGCAAACATAGATACTAGACTAAGATCACTCCAGTCATTGTTTTAAAAGGCTTAAGCCTTGAGGCGTACGCCTTGAAGTAAGGCGTACAGATTTTGCCTCTATCAATGATCAATTAGTGATTTAAAGCAAAATAATATGTATTTTTATAATTTAAAACATGTAAAAAAAACACTTCAACAATTATGGGCCAAATAAAAAAGTAAAAAATGAAAAACAATAAGGGAAATCAAATTCTATTAGTTTTTCTTAGTGTTTTAAGAGATTTCAATGCAAAAAGGACTAATCAAGTTCTTAGTTTCTTTTGGAATTTGGATAAATCAAGAGAGGTTTTTCTTGTTATTCTAAATGTAATGTCCCAAGTTTGTTATTTTTCTCATTTCTTCTCCTAATTGATTTTTAATAATAATAATAATAATAATAGATCAAATCAACTAAGTTGTTTCCTTTCTTCTTGTTGGTTCGGTTGTCTTAATATGTTTATTTATCTCAGTTGGGTCTTTAGTCTTTTGTTATTGGGCCTTAGTTATTGGCTTATTTAGTGTTTTTTATTTGTCTAGGTGTCCCATCACTAATCAGGGGCATTCTAGTCTATTTGTGTAACATTATGTAATACACTTATTAATAATAGA